GTCATTAAGATTATCTCAAAATTTATTTTTATATCTAATTATCAATTTTTAAATTTAAAAATAGTTAAAATCAAGTAGATCTATAAACATATCAAAATCTTGAAAATGGATGGTGTAGATAATATGTGATAAAATGCACTATTTTTTAGATTTACTTTTTAATTTTTATGGTCATATATCTCGATATCGAGTTGATCAATCAAAAGATTAAAAAGTTTTTCAATATTGAAACTATATTTTTCGATGGATTTTTGAGGTGCATCCGTGGCGGTAGAAGTATCGATTGCAACCTTATACAAACTTTTTCCATAAAAAAAATATGAAAGAAAGGGGAAAGGGTGGAGGAAGGCGTTGGGTTTGTTTCCATTCGTTGGCGTCGGCCGCACGCAGGAAAAGTGTGTGTTGCGTCGTACACTGTGGCATTAAGATAGAGAGAGAGAGTGAAGATGAACATGTACTTGCCTATATACATGGCTTTACAAATAAATGAAGAAATTTTGGAATTAAAAAAAAGAAGAAAAGCCTTGTTCAATATCTATAAGAAAAAAATAAATAGTATTTTCGTCTATAAGCTCACCCCGGTCTGATTTTTTTAGATAGTAGGGAAAAATCAACTGTCACAGACATGTTATATCCGTTCTGCAACAGGCTTATTATGTTCGTTGCAATCGAATATTCACCCTAAATTGCAATGGACCTATTATGTCCGGGGCAAAAATATCTTTTACTTTGCCGTATTGGAAAGTGTTTTTTTAAAAAAAAATAAAAAAATTAACAAGGTTTATATTATTTAAATAAAATGCACCTCAAAATTATGTCAAAAGATGCAATTTAAATGCTAGTTTATGGGCAGTCTTCAGGTGACATGAAAATCTATTATCATATCTTATTATGGAATTTGAAGCTCAAAAAAATGAGAAAGATCAAATACATCTATAAATAATTAAAATTTTTGAAAATATATGATCATTATAAGATGCATTATTTTTACAATTTAAAAATAATTTTTTTAATAAGCATATATCTCGATGTTGAGATAATTAATTTGAAGATTTTTTAGTACTTGAATATTTCAATATGCTCCTTATTCCAACATTATAAAGTTAAACGTGGCATATGAACTCCTTACTTAATATTAGGGAAAAATAGGGTTGGGTCCTAAACAATTAAATTAAGGCGTACTTCAAAAATTATTTACAAGAGGTTGTTTTGATACAGAAAAACCTTCAATTCGATCATCTCGACTTCAAGATGTATGGACATGAGAAAAATATATTTCAAGTATTGAAAATAATATATTTTTTAATATATTATCAATATTTAAGATTTTCAAATGTTCATAGATCTGCTTAATCTAGGTTGTTTTTGAATTCTCGATGTTTACGAAAACAAATTTTTAGTCCATTGTATAAAAGATGAGAAATGATCCTATAGGTCCATCTCCCATCCATGTGTGTAGGATCATAAAGGATCAACATTAAATTTGACACGGATTCATAGAAAAGTCAAATCTTAGACTGTGATAACTACTTTTACAGAGATCCATGTCAATTTTAATGATGATCTTTTGTGGTCTTTGCATACATGAGTAAGAGAGAGTCATGTAAGATAATTGCTCATAAAATATTTATGATACTGATAGAATATATTCCGATACCATTTAGAGCTTGGTCTTACCTTGAGTGTGTAGGGCCTCGGCCCTACACAAACTACATCATCATCTACGTACAAAAGATTGTATAAAAACAAGGAAAAATAATTATAGTGAGCGGCGTGGGGCCACGCCCACAGTTTATTTCGGCCGCCCCGCCTTTGTCTTCTCCCCCGTCCCCTTCCCTTCCCTTCCCATTATCTCCTCACTTTCTCTCTCTAAAAAACACCCAAATACCAAACCCATGAGCTGAATCGGACCCTTCTTCTGGGTTAACCTTGGGTTGGGTTGGGTTGGGTTTGGTTGGGTTTGGTTCTTTTTGTATTGTAACCTTTGACTCTATTCTCTCTCTCTCTTTGCCATTGTGTTGGCCGGCGTCGCTATCTCTTATCGTCCACCTCCTCCCCCCCTCTTCACGCCATTCTTATCGCCTTTCCACGCTTCCAAAAATAATCCACGAATTCTCTTTGTTTTTAGCTTCTTCCTCTTTTCTCTCTCTCTCTAAAAAGTGGGGGATTACTGTGATGGCTCCATATCCTTCTTTGAGTTGAAGGAAAGGGAGTGGGGTTTTTTTTTTTTAATTTCCTCAAGAGAGAGACGACCTTGATTTGGCTCCTTATTCTCGTTCTGGTTCTTGTGATCTCTTCTGGCACCAGCATGAGAAGGAAGAGGGTTTTTTGAGGAGCAGGTTCTTGGGTTTGTTCTCTCACACTGCCCCATCGCCATGGCAGGGGGCAACGAAGTCACCCTCAACGATTCCAGGGTCAGTTCTTGTTTATTGCTTCTCTACTTTGTTACCTCTCTCTTCCTCTTTATTCACTTTTACATTTACGCCTTGTTCAGATCGATTGATCGTTCATGAACGATTTATTTCTCCTTTGGCATGCTCTCTTTCTTCTTCTTTTTAGATTTTTTAGGTTTGGATAGATTGGTTTTATTGGGGGCATTAAAACTTGGATTCACTTTTGAATTTTGTGTTTGATTATCTGATTTTCCAATCAATTCTCTCAGTTGTCTTCCATCAGAGGGATTTATGGGGTTCCAAACTTGGCATTTGGGGTTTCGTTTGAATGAAATGTCTTAAATTTGTTTGTTAGTTTTACTATGATTTTTCTTATTCTGCGACTAGCAATCTCTCTGGTTTAGGTCAGAAGATTGAAAATTTAACCCAATTCTTAACCATCTAAAGGAAAAGAAAGAAAGAAAAAATTCAACCAATTCATACATAATTAGGTTCAATATGTTCTTATTTAGTCTCACTGGTTCAGCTTTACCTGTGAGACCCAAGTCATATATTTTATCCTTTGCCCTCTTTACTTTCCATTTTGTGTTGATAACTACTGATCAGAGGTCCCTGTGTCAATCCTTCTATCCACACGCTAGACCCACTTTCCCCTGTTTCTTTGCTTCAAACCAAATTAAAATGTGTTTATCAGTCTGTGTACTTACCAAAAATCTAATTCGATGCAGCTTCCCAGAAACTATAGCAGTTGATTCCTCTAAAGTTGCCATATTTTTTACGGTTTCACTGATCTTTTATGGCCTAGTGCTTTATCTTCCTATATATATATATTGAAATTTAACTCTCTAGTGCTCCTATTTCTACCTTTCGACATTTTGATAAAAGAAAGATGAGAGTTAACCTTTCTATATGTATATTGAAATTTGACATGCTCATCCCATGTAATTTACTGGACAGATGGTGGTTCCATTAAACACATGGGTGCTCATCTCTAACTTCAAGCTGGCCTATAATCTCCTACGACGCCCGGACGGGACGTTCAATCGCCACTTGGCTGAATTCCTTGATCGCAAGGTCTCTCCCAACGCAACACCTGTCGATGGGGTCTACTCCTTTGATGTTATTGTGGACCGCACCTCTAGCCTCTTGAGCCGCATATACAGGCCTGAACCTGAAACCGAGCCAGGCAACAACCTGTTGGGCTCCTCAGTGTCCATCGAGCCTGCCCCTTCCACCTCCACGCTACCCATCATCATTTTCTTCCATGGCGGCAGCTTTGCCCACTCATCATCCAATAGCGCCATCTATGACACCCTTTGTCGCCGCCTTGTTGGCCTGTGCAATGCAGTCGTGATCTCCGTGAATTATCGCCGATCCCCCGAGAACCGATACCCATGTGCTTATGATGATGGGTGGGCGGCCCTCAAGTGGGTGAGCTCGAGGCCATGGCTCAAGTGTGAAGCCGAATCGAAGCTCCGCATTTTCTTGATGGGCGATAGCTCGGGGGGTAATATCGCCCACCACGTGACCCAAATGGCTGTGGAATCGGGAATGGAGATTGCCGGGAACATCTTGTTGACGCCCATGTTCGGGGGACAGAAGAGGACGGAGTCGGAAAGGAGATTGGATGGGAAATACTTTGTGACAATTCAAGATAGGGATTGGTATTGGAAGGCCTTTCTACCTGAAGGCGTGGATAGGGATCACCCAGCTTGTAATCCATTCGGTCCCAAGGGAATGGATTTGGAAGGACTTTCATTTCCTAAGAGCCTCATTGTGGTTGCGGGGCTTGATCTTATGCAAGACTGGCAATTGGGTTATGCTGAAGGGTTGAAGAAGGTGGGGAAAGAGGTGAAGCTAATATATTTGGAGCAGGCGACGATCGGGTTTTATTTGCTGCCTAATACGGAGCATTACTATAGTGTGATGGAGGAAATCAGGAACTTTGTGTGTACTGACTGTTAATATACTGACCTCCGGCGCACGTCAACACATTACCATGATCAATCGATTCTTTTCTCCTTTTTCTTTGTTTTGCTGTTGGGGTTTTGTTTTTTTCCCTAATTGTCTTGTGCAGTGTCAAATTTACTTACCATTGCATATACCCAGAGGGGTAGCACGGCACTGAAGATGGAGCTCCAAGACTCATTTAGGCCCATCCCCTTCTTCAAATGAAGGACTTCTGGTGTGGATGATGGACGCGTATGGGAAATGTCCATCAAAATGGTGGGTTTTGAGGATCCACTGATTATGTATGTTAATACTCTTTTTTCTCTCTCCGTGTTGGACGCAGGCGAGGGATACGGCGATGGCCCCTATTTGGTGGCACCCAGCTGATTTAGGTGCTAATTCCAGCAGAAATGGAGGATTAACTCAACGCCCATGCTGCTGTATTATACTTTAATTTGTGTGTCCTTAGAACTGTAATTTCTATATCTGTGGATTGTTAAAGTGTTGGTGATGAAATATGAAGAATAGTGTTTTTGAGATTTCTCTATGGAACTTTTCTGTCTTGTGACCTGCTCACTGTGTAGGAAAATATGTAATATTCGTAATGGAATTTGATCTTAGTTGTTGAAATAAGGCAGGACAAGATGACCTACACTATATACGGGACGTGTGACTTTTGAGAGGACAGACACGGTGTAAGCTCACATTATTTCAATGTAAACTTTTGACAGGACAGACGGTGTAAGCTCACATTATTTCAATGTACTTTGGAGAGAAAGAGAGAGAGAGAAAGAGACACCGGCGAAAGAGTGTCAAGGCATTCTTGTCCAATTATTGGAAACCCAAGTCTTGTCCGAGCTCCCAACCAGTTCTCTATGAACCCTAATAGAAAAAATGGGAAATTACAAAAAAAAACATCTTAAAATGAACTATTTATGCAACTTATCCCACCTAAACTTCTCTTATACTTTTTTCCTCCAAACTATTTTTTTTTTCGTAAAATCCCCTCAACCCAAAAGTAATATGAAATAAGATTAAAGTACTTTCATTTCTTTTCACACGGCCTTCTCTTTCCTGTTTTCCACTGTAAAGATGTGCTCTAGCAGTCTCAATGTGTGTTTCGGCAGTATTTTGTTTGACCCACAGTGCTCTGGCATTCTGATAACTCGCTCTGGCAATGTAATCGCATGCTCCAGCAGTCCACTCCGGCACTGAAGCCTCTAGAGCCACAACGCTCCGGCAATAGAGGACTACTTTCCGACAGTCCGAATGTGCATTCTGGCAGTCACAATGTGCGCTCCAGTAGTGTTTTGTCTGACCTACAACGCTCCGACATACTAAGAACTGCGCTCTGGTAGTCCCAATGTGCACTCCAGTAGTCATTTGTCTAACCCACAGTGCTCTGGCATTCTGAGAACGCACTCCGACAATGAAAATATGTGCTTCGGGAGTTTGCTCCGACAATGAAGTCTTTGGAGCCACAGCGCTTCGGCAATGTAGCATCGCGCTCCGACAATGCTTCTTGACATTCTACTCTGGCAGTGGTACACTGCACTCCAGCACTACTCTACTTGGGAGCCTCAAATTGATTTGGTTTGTACGAAAAGGGCATTTCTGATCAAAAAATAAGAATTTTTTACCTCGGGGGGTTTTTGTGAAGAAAGGTTGTTTGGAGGAAAAAAGTGTGAGGAAAGATTGAGGTGGGGATAAATTGCATACATAGTTCATTTTAAGGTGTTTTTTTGTAATTTTCCCTAAAAAATTGAATTCATGTTTTTAACATGGGAGCATGCTTGAAGTAGTATAATAACACTATGCTACATGCAACCACGGCCATCGGCAGTACACTCAATGAATGCTTAAGATGAACCATTTCTAGCTAAAGAATCATTTATTTCAGCAGTAAAGCTAGCTTGCATTATACAATAACTTCATCACGATTGTTGTTGAAACTGAATTTTCTGCTGAATTTCGAGTATTCATCGTCATTCTCTTCGACTATACCACAATGTTGCTGGCTTCAGGACATTAATTTGAATTAAGATTATCATTGTTCAACGTTATAAGGCCAGCCACAACAAGGAGCCACGTACTAGCTTTTGATGTATCCAACTGCATCAAGTTACAAATGCTAATGTGACAAACTTCTAAAACAAACATGGGATCCATCTTGCAATGATAAAGTTTTAAAGCTAAGCGAGCCTTCCCCCCCTCCCCCTCCTATTTTTTAAGGAACTTTTTTACCATGAAAGAGGGCATGTTTGGCTTGCGAGAAATTTGTTTTCTTACGAGAGATTTATTTCTCTCAGGTTTGGTTTTACCTGGTGATGCCTGATGTCTCTGCGAATACAGTTTCTTCATTCTGTGTCGAGCCCGTTTGAGAAACCATCCTTCGGGAATCTAGAATCTAATATGTTTAGTACCATTCCTCTCTCTCTCTCTCTCCTGTGAGTATGTGTGCCTTCTGTGTGTGTGTGTTGATCATCATTGTAGATAAAGCTATGTAGCTAAGCTGGTGAATGATGTTTAGTTGTTCATGTTGTAAGATTGGATCCCACATAAAAATGTAACTTATTTTCAGGTTATTTGCCTCTCTCTCTCTCTCTCTCAAAAGATCATCATTGGCAAGGGCCATGTAGCAGCTCAGTGCTGCTCGAAAACGAGATCTCAAATGAAAATGTAACCTTGTTTCAGGCTGTTTGCAGTTTTCCAGTTTGAAATACTGTATCTTGTAACAGTCAAGGCAAACAATTGAAAGCAACAATACACAATAAATTCCTACTGAAAAGAAAAGCTCACATCAGAATTGCCAAAAAAACCCATGACATACGAACCCACAATAAAGAAAATTAATAGAGAGAGAGATACCAAAAGAAGGCTTTGAAAAGCCACAAAAACTAGCTTTGTTGAGCACATACATGCAACTTCAGCAACCTAAATATACTGACCAAATACTGCGAGTTCTCATCCACCATAACAAAATAAAATTTTGCTTCATCTAACAAATTGATAAAAAAAAAAAGCCCTGAAGGCTGATAACAATAAAAAAACCAGTTGACACAAGTTACAAAGGGAGAGGGAGAGAGAGAGAGAGAGAGAGGAGGGGAGGGGGGGGTGGGGGGGGGCGGGCGGGGAAGAATTCAATAATCTACACCTTACAATTGGAGAGAAGTATATTCAAATGGTCGAAAAAAATCTGAGCAGTCCTGCGTATTCAGTTAGCAGTCCAAATCTCGAATCCAGACATAGCCAATCTGCAAAACAGCAATAAGGAAATAAAAATCAGTGACCTCTCCTTCCTCAAATCTTACAAAATAATAGATTATATCGCTTTTGTTTCTTCTATGATCAAGTATAACCACCCCGACTAAAATGCTTAATAGCTAGATTTCTTTGTTTTGACACAGGAATACTGGTTTGCTAATGCTATCTCCTCTAATTCCAAAACACAACTTACAGATCACCCCAAAAGTTACAATTTACCTAACATGTAAGTTGGTCCAATTTGGTAAAAAGAATCTCTCTCAGTTTTGACACAGGCAAACTAGTTTTTCCTTGCCTTAAAAGCCCATCTCACAATTTATCAAAAAAAGCACAAATTCACCCAATCACGAGGGTTACAAATGATGCATCATGATCAAAAGCTCCAATCTTGATACCAAGAAAAAAAAAAAAGCAAAAAAGAAGAAAGAAAGAAGAAACACGTCTTTCAAAAATAAAACATCTTATTCCAATTGTAAATTTCTAGACAGAAAAGAATAGTCCTAACAAAAGGGTGCTGTTTGTATAGAGCCGAGGCTCTAAACAATCAAATTAGAGCTCATCTTCAAATAGTGTCGAGAAATGTGGTTTCAATATTGGGAATCTTTGACTAGCCTTAAAATATATTTTTCATCTTTAGTTATCAAATTTTCAGCTTAAAAAATAGTGTAGATCGAGCAGATGTATAAAAACTTGAATAACTTAAAAATCATGGTACAAAAATACGTTACAAGATGCAGTATTTCCAAAATATGAAAATCACTTTTTTCACAAGTCCATGCATCTTGATGTCGAGATAATCAATTTAAGGATATTTGGGCATCAAAACAACCTCTTCTAATGATAGGTAGGCTCTAATTTGATTGTTTAGAGCCTAGGCTCTATATAAACTTTTCCCATTAAAAAAATTGACTGGTTTCTAAAACCAGTAAAAATGCATCTCAAACCCCACTTCAATATGTAATCAGTGAAAAAAAAAAAAACTTAGAAAACTGAAAATAAGAATTTTAAAAAGATGATCATATATTAGACCAAAAGAAAGAGAAAAGTGAAAACATAAATTACTGGCAACTCAATTCTGTGCATAAATATTTGTGTCAAGGAACTTCTAGGAGAGGTAAATTATGAATAATTCTATAAATTTGTGAATAGATATGCACTCGTCTTTGGAATTTTGGGATAGATGAGATTTTGTTGGTCCTTTTTAAGCCATCTATTGATGAAGTGAAATTTAAAGGCAGTATGAGGAGGTCTCATGAACAATTATGGTTAATATGGTCAATCTTAATGCAAGACGTCATATAGAATTGAGTCCCCTGGTTACGGTGTATTCCAAAACAAACACAGGTCCAGTGAGTTCAGGAGTATCCTTCACTGTGCATGTGAGAAATATTATCACTTATCAGTGATGTGTCGTGACTACTTATGATTTAAGTACCAGTTATGGCAAGAAAGACTGGTCTATTTTAAGGAAGTTTTACCTATATAGTGGAAGTATAGCACAATGTGGTCACTGAGGTTGACTCCTAAATGTTACTTGATAGATTAACAAGGGGTCCCTAAGGTGAGCATCCAGAGACAGTTTTTCTAAACTTTCTGACTTAACTACAACTATAGAGATTTTTCTTATTTTGATAGCTAGCTCCATTAACTATAATCAAACATACAATGAAATAAACTCACAAGCATTAATTTAAAGACATGGAGATGTTATGTCTCAGTTGACAACAATACTGATTATTGACATATTTTGTCCGTATGTGCGTGTGAGTGTGCGTGTGCATGCGTGTGTGTTGAGAGGGTGGGTGGTAGGTATGCTGCAAATACATAACTGGTGCATCTAGGGTGATACTAAGGGACCCAGTCATCCATTAAAACAAGTGGCTGATACTAAACAATTGTGAGGTTTTACAACAAAGCAGTTTCTTCCTTCGTCTTTGTAACTTATTGTACACTTGGTTCTTCTTCATGGGCAAGAGAGGAGTGAAAGAGATGCATCTCAATTATAGAACTATGACTAGTGCATGGATTCCATGACTCCCAAGCACTCAAACAGCTTATTGCCCTAGTAGTTTGCTCTATTCTTCCTGTGACATGATTTCCTTTAAATGAAGTTGCTACTCACCAAGTAACGTAGAAAACCTTCTTCACCCTATTGATTTTTTTTAAGTGGCCCTTCTTGGTGGGTGAGAATTGAGTGAAGAGATGCATCTCAACTATAGAGCTATGACTAGTACATTAATTCCATGACTCCCCAGTATTCAAACCACACGTTGCTCAAGTAGTTAGCCACTACCATTTCTGTGCCGTTAATTCCTTCTAAGTGAAGTTGCTACTCACTAAGAAATGTAAAAATTTAACGAAATGACATAAACAGCGACTGTACTAAGCCCTTGAGATGAACAAATTATTAGCCACATATACCAGGTATCTAAGTGGAATTTATTTCAACACAATTCTGCATGATGTGTTAGAGAGCTACTAGTAACAAAGATATCAAAGTGCAGTATACAAGTGTTTTAATAGTTTCCATTAGATAAGAATTAAAAGTTGATCATCTTAATCGACAAATAGATATGTTTGGGAAGACTCAGATTTGATGCACATGATGGGTCATAGGGTGTTGCAACCATAAGAACTAGTGCTTGACCAAAGTTCAAACTCCATGTAACTGATAGTAAATCAACGTAGTACTTCATGTATGGTCCAAAATTACTAACTTGATCCACCCCTTCAACAGGCTATTTTAAGGTTGTTTACTTCCTCATACATATGACCGAGAAAAAACCCAACTTTAACTATAAGAATGAAACGAAAAATTATGACTGCCACAAATTCTTGAAAACCCTTCAATAGCGCAGATATTAAAATTGCTAACATAGTAATCTACATAAAGGAATCCACTGATCCTAACCTGCTTGAGCTGGTGAATTGCATGGTTTGATAAAGTGCTGATTAAGCCACCTCTCGGTCCTATTTCAACCAGTGCCCTGCCTTCCCATACTAACAATGAAAAACCAGATGCTCACTTTTCCTAGAGCAATGCCTGAGAAATGCCAAGCAATGCCTGAGAATTAATGCCGAATAGCTTTGCATAATACCAGTAATTCATTTTATGTAAGTAGCCTTCACTCTTCTGATGCCATTAATGAAGAGGAATGTCCTCAAAGGGCATTGACAATAATTTCGATGCCCTTCAAGCATTGAACAAGAGACATTCACGAGCTAGAACCATCCATCACTCAGCATTGAAAAATATAAATAACATGTAACAGCGCATTAATGTGTTTCCATGTTAGTAAACATTTGAAGAGACTCTATAAGGATAGAGCATCTAGAGGAAGACTGAATCCTGCCTTGCACATTGCTCCTAGTATACGAAGCACATCATTTCTCTGACCAGATTTTACGTAAGACTTGTATAGTATCAGGAATGTTTTCTTGGTGGGATGGAAGTTGAAGGCCTCCATTTCACCAATAACACTTTCCATTTCTGGAAAACGATTCAGTGATCCATACATCACCATTTTAGAATGATACAGTGATCGGCATAGCCTCCATCCCGCAAACTCAGCTTGTTTTATGAAAACTTCAAGCTTGTCTACAGCATTGCAACGGAAGTAACTAGATATGATCGAGCGCATCACACTAACGGTTGCAACTATAGTGTTTCGCTCAAAGGCCCGATATATAGAATCCTCCATCCCTTCAACCATGTCTTCTTGGGCATAAACTCTGATAAGCAATACATCTATCCAAGGCCTATACTCCTCTTCAGGCAAAAGCTGGATCAATCTCTCAATTTTTTTCACCCTATCTGCATCTGAACTTTTGCAATATGCACAGATCATAGCCCTAATCAAAGCAACCTCTTTCTTGTCAACTAGATCCCTCACCAACTCATAGGTTTTCTCCATCTTCTCTACCATTCTTGCATGGGCATAACCTCTAAGCATCAATAAGTGGGTACAATAATCGGGTCTTACAGGACCTTCCTCCATATTCTTGAAGGTTCTCTCCATATCATCCCACATCCAAGCAGTTACATAACCAGCGATAAGTGTATTGTAAGAATTAATATTTGGAGAGAGATTGGAATCGAAAATTGCTTTATACACCATCTCCATGTGGTCAATGAGCATAGAGCGCCCAAATATTGATAAGAGGATGTTATAGGTCACAAGGGTGGGTCTGCAATGTGCCTCCCTCTTCAAGTCTTCAAATACGGCCAATGATTTCTTTATAAGCCCATTGTACATGTATGCAGTCATCAACGCATTATAGAGAGATGTTGATCTCTTGATTCCTCTTGTGTTGGCTTCAGAGAAGAGCTCAACAGCGAGATCAATATTTTTAACTCTTCCTGCATACATGATGCCCTTTGAGTACTCTTCATAAAGCATTTGAACTCCAGAGTTTGCCTGCTTCCTTTTCCAATTAAAAACCTGAGAAATGAAAACAATTTGGAGAGAAATTTGTTCAGGCTGGTCAATCAACCTAGAAAAGTAGTAATTAGTAAGTGCATAAGGATAACAACATGGAGAGCTTTTGAAAAATAGAATACCACCACGCATTGCTCACAATAGCAAAAGGGTAACTCGATTAACCAGCTGCTTACACAGTTGATAATGACCAAGTTGGTATGAAACACATTGTCCACAAATAATATTGTAGGGAAAACAAGAAGAAGCGAGCAATTGTTCCATATGGTGCCCCATATGGGGAACGTTAAGGTGCATAACAAATGAAAGACAGTCTCTTTTCATGACTATAATAAGTTAGAATGTACTGACAAAAGAAAAAGCAAAGAAAAGAAAATGTAAAAGGGGACCAGATGAGTACCTCTAAGGCCAAATGAGGCCATGTCTTGAGACGATCTAAGAGCACAATGAATGCAGTTCCATCAGGGCTGTTTAAAATAGCGGATTGACCTTCCAAAATTGCAGATAGTTTCTCTGCATCATTATCAGTGGCACCTCCTCCAACCAACTCATCGACCACTTTTGCAATCTGGTTACTCAACTCTTCCCCAATTCTTTGTTTATCTAGACCAGTGGAACTAATGCCCCCAAAACAATTCGAGGACACGATCTTTGACAATGGTTGTTGTTGTTCTTTCCCCATACAAAAGCATCGCAAATCCCCATTTCCCCCATTACCATAAAAACCAAAGCCAATCTCTCTCCGCAGAAAAAATTCAATGTTGGAAGTGGGGCTTATAAGAGAAATCCCCTTGTCACCCATACAGAGTAATCGGAGGTTGTTGGTGGGGCCTTTGATAAAGATAAGGCTATTTACAAGCTTCCAACATGGTGAAGACCTCATTCCTTTACAAAACCAAACCACCACCAGAAGGAGGAGCCTGCCTATTGGCAATAACAAGTGGGAAAAGGAATTAGTTCATTCACTATTGATGTGAACATATACATATTTTTTATATGAGTTATCCAAAAAAAAAAAAGTATATCCAGAACCCCTAGCAAGCCAGCCCCAGTAAGAAATGAACATCGTTAAAACGCAAAAGTAAATGGTGCAATGGAAAACTTTGTATTCAACAAACGTGTAGAATTGACATCCCAAGGTCCAAAAGACATCGGAAACCTCCATGACTTCATGGAAAAAAGAAAAAAGGTTCTTTTCTTGGGGGGTTGGGATCCTTTTTTTAAACTATAATTATCAAACGAGAAATACGAGGTGAGAATTTAATGATACCTTATAGATAAGTTAAATTACAGGTGATCTTGTCAGTGCTCACCTCTTGAACAGATGGAACACTCCTTTTTTCCTTGAAGCCCTTGACCAATTCTATATACTCATTTATCTTCACAACAAAAAGACCGAATACATCCAATCCACAACAGCAAGTTTGAAGAACAATGAGCCATTCAACAAAAGAACCGAAAGAAAATGAATCGCATTCCTAATAGATCCTCACACGTTCCTTTTCATTTTCACACCAAAACGGTCGACCCAAATTCTCATTTTTTGGAAAATGCAGCATTAAATTTGCGGCAACTGAAAATGTTCACCAGTTACTAAGAAACAGTCCTCAACTTCAGAATACGCAGCAAATCACACAAAAGCGACCTTAAATAGTTAGGCATTGAGCTGTTGGGCTTTAAGGATTAAAGCTCAAATCAAATTTAGCATGTGGAACAGAAGCTCCATTTCTCTGAAAAAAAGAAACAAACACATCATCTGCGCCTTCTATTTCTCTTCCCCTTGCTTCATGCCTGGAAATTTGATCCTTCCGTGAAGCCTGGGCAGAAGAGCGTGAAAGAAGTCTGCTTTGTGTCCTTCATTTAGAGAGAGAAAATGGTGAAAGAAGGGGTGGGCCATGAATCGGTGATATGAAAAATAGGGTTTAGAGTTTAGAGGGATGTGGCGTCCTCCACCGTGGTGGATACGTCGTCGCTTCGTTCACTCGGGACTCTAAAACGCCCTAGTCGAGACTCTAGAGCAAGCACTGTTTTAAAAATCGAAAATATTCGATTCTTGTTACCGATCCGAATAGGAACTAGCAACCATGTGTTTTAAACCAGATCAGTGGGCCGAATGGTTTATCGAACCACATATTTTTTTCGGATCGTTGCCACGGCAATTCATTGGGTATGAATTGTTAGTGCATATTAAAAAAGTAAATTAGGTTAAATTTAAAATGGCAACTATATAGAGTGGGGATTTAAAAATGAGTAATGATGGTTCAAGTGAGACTCTCCCCTACCCCAACTGCTGTGAGACCCTCTACTTATGGCCATAGGATTCTTGTCCACATCTCGAGGAGAACGGAATGCGAGATCACCCGTAAAAGTCACAAGAGAGCGACCGCTAATCTCGGTTTCTCTGCATTGAGCTCTTCAAGCGAGGTTTTCTTGGTGGATCTATCACGAGAGAGGGAGCTGAAATTCTGATTAGGTTTTTGAGAGAGAGAGTTGAAATTATGAATGGATTTTAGAGAGACAATGTGAGACTAGATGTAAAAAAACATGAGGAGCTCCACAAATGGTAAGCAGATGACGGGAGAGATCCAAATGATGTCAGCTTGTCTAATAATATGAGACCAAATATAAAAATCATAAGAGTTGCACAAATAGTAAGCAGAAGATGATGAAATAGATCCAGATGGTGTTAGTTGTACAACCATTTCGGTATGTTAAAAGTTTGAGAAGAAACTCGAGTTCTCATGGACTCACTCTGAGAGAGAGAATAGGGGACATAGGCTCCCTATATTTGACTAGCAAACTTACGAAAACCAAATACCTACGATGATCATATAGACAATCTTAACCCCTAAGTTACTGATTATCATACAATTTTGTAAATGTATTGACCCAATCTTTTCAAATGATTCCCCATTAATCCAGCACAAGTCTGTAGAAATACTGCACTCATAAATTTTAGCATAAATTGCTTCGAAAAGTTCATCAAAATCACAACGAAAATTGCAGGACTCACACCCTAGACCTTCAAAATTGCAAGAAAGAACACGATTCCAACATTGATTGCAGTTGTTGAGAGATTGAAAATGGAGCGTGAAAATAAAGCTTCATTGAAGTTTTAGAAATTTTTTGTTGATTTTAGAAGGGGTGCCTCATTTTTTTACTCCTTGTCGAGATTTTGGGCCATAGAATACCATCGGTGCTGTCTTTGTCAGAGTTTCTCTCTCTAAAATTGATAGGTTTTTGTTTTGGTGGGTCTTTAACAGAGAGAGCGAGAGATTCGAGGGGATTTAGACGGAAAAAGGATTGAAAGTAGATGAGGTTTAGAAGGGAAAGGGTTTAGCAAGAGAGGAGGCGGGCTAGTATCTTATTTGGTAAAGAGGGTATGCACCTCCTCTAAGAGAAACCTTCTCTCTGGTCGGTTAACCGGGTGATTACTACCATCTTATTTTCTCGAGATGTAGATGTGAATCCTACGGTCATGAGTTGGGGTCTCATACACATGGGTAAGATCATTACTCTTTCAAAATAACCTAATAAATTATTTGATAAGTTTGCGAAAAGAGATACTTCTCACTACAAATATATAAGAAGATGCAATTTCTATGGGGCTTAGGCTTTATAAAAATAAAGTGAAGTGTTACATCAACACTTTGTTCGGAAAACAATCTGGCATCAGAAATCTTTGTAATGGTTCTAAAATAAATTTCCAACAGAGATTATAAATTTTGAAGCTAAAAAAAATGTACATATCTTGCGGATTCATGAACACTTGAAAATGACCACTCTAAATAATGTGCTATAATATACAATACTTTTGGATCTTGAAATCTAATTTTTCATATAATGTGCTATAATATACAATACTTTTGGATCTTGAAATCTAATTTTTCTTAACTATAATGGTCGAGGTCAAGATGATCAAGTTAAAGGTTTTCTTACATGATGACACCATAACTACATTTTTTGATAAATTTTGAGCAGACTTTACTTTTTCTCATAAAATCTAGGCATTTTTAACCTTTTTCTCATGGAATTGTTTTTGATAGGGCTGCAACCCTATCAAAATGGTTAAAATCCTCACCTCAAAACTCACTAAAAATTGAAGTTTTAGTGTCGAGAAACCTTCCATTCAATCATCTCGGTCTTGAGTATTATAGTTGAAGAAAAAAAAGGATTTCAAATATTAAAAATAGTGTATTTGTAACACATTATCTAGACTGCCCATTTCGCCTTAAAAATAAGTGTTTCTAGATCGGCAATATCTAGACCATTTTTTGAGCTTTCAAGAAAATTAATTTTAGGACCCATGGTGGAGATTTATGATGCCCAAAGTGCTTTCAAAAGACGACGGGGATAAGGCTCTACTTTGTTTTTATAAAGAAATTGCATTCTTTTCCCATAGATAGATGGGTGCGATTTGTATAGAGCCGAGGCTATAAACAATCAAAGTAAAGCACACCTTCAAATACTGTCAAGAAATGTAGTTTCTATATCGAAAATCCTTGTGATAGCCTTAAAATATATTTTTATATTCAATTATAAAATTTATAGCTTAAAAAATAGTATAGATTGAGCAGATCTATAATAACTTTAAAATCTTGAAAATTGACGGTCAAGAAATATGTTACAAGATATACTATTTTCAAAACTGGAAATCTATTTTTTTCTCATGTCCATGCATCTTGATGTCCAGATGATCAATTTGAGGATATTTGAGCATCAAAACAACCTCTTCAAGTGAAATTTTTGAGATAAGCTCTGATTTGATTGTTAAAAGCCTCGATTCTATATAAACTTTTTCCATAATTATATCTATTCAAACTTTCACCTAGAATAACATGGTCAAGCCGCAAACCTCACAATTCCCCCGATTTGAATTTCCTAAGGTATATTCCCTGCCCAAACTCTTTCCAACCGGAAGCATAAACTATACTATTCGGGTCTGGGTTCGGATCTGGATCCAAGTCCCACTATATTCTTGGGTTCTATCTGGTCCTGTTCCGGGTCCACGTTCCATAATAGTTTTTCAGGTATTGGGTTTGGGCTGGACCCAACTTGGCATGTTGCCACCCTTGCGCACACACACAAAAAAAGAAGAAGAGAAATAATAAAAATAAATAAATAACATTCTTACAAAGGTAACCTTGTCATTTCCTACTCCAACATGTGCCCCCGCTTATTTGTCAATATCTTCTTGTCAAAGCTTTCAAAATGGGAGCAGTTTAAGTTAGGTGCAAACTACACTACCTGGACTTAACCAACAAGGTCCACGGGTCGACCCGGTGTTGGGTAGGGTTTAAAATACAAAAAATAAAAATAGAAAAATATGTTAATGAGAGAATCTAGCAATTCGAGTTATGCCGAGTCCCAAGTTCCCAACCCAACCTGGTCAAGTCTAACATGAACATACGCCTGACCCAAAATGAGTTAAATCCATACTTATGCACCAGACGCAGACGCAACTATTAGGCCCAAAAGTTCGAACCCAACTTGGACGTGGATCTAGCAAATCTACGACCGATTGACCTGAATTAATTGAGGCTAAAAAAGTTCATGTATATGTTTATATATACCTCATTCTCCTCCTAGCCGTCCAATCCAAAAATGAATGGTTAGGGTAGCTTCAACCATAGTGTCACACCCAATATTGTTCTTTTAATTTAATTTTATAAATAATCATAGGAAATTAGAGGCATGCCGTAATTCTCATCCAACAATTTTCAAAAAAATAATAAAAAATAAAATGACCTTACAAGGGTATTTTGGGTATAAAAATATTTTCTTTTTATTTTTCAATAGGAGAAACTTTTCAGTTTTTTTTTTTTTTGTTCCCTTCCTAAAATAAAAAATAGCTGTTTGCAATGGGAAAGATTTGTGCTTTAGTTTTTGTCCAAACATAATACCACTTATATCATTTTTTTTATTATTATTGATTGTTTGGTTTTAGTCAGATATTTCTTGAATATTTTCTGTTGCCTCAGAATCAGTACATATGTAAATAGGAGAAAGAAAACAAAAAGAAATGGCATTAAGTACCACCAAAGGTGAAGGAGGAGAAGGAGACCTTGAGGAGCAACACTTAATGGTTCAGTAACAATACTCTTTCTTCCAAAATTTGAATCATGTTATCAGAAAGAATGACCTTTCTAAATATTTTATTTGCTAATGCTTTCCTTTCAAACACTGCTGCCTATTTCATTTGCTAAAGCTTTCCTTCCTAAGGATTTTGTTTGCAAATACTTTTTGGGTCTAACTATATGGACCCAATCTCATTTAGACTTGTTGAATCCAAAGTATCTGAAATTGGCAGTCACATGATCATTACTTACCTGCCCTATCCCAATTCTGGCAAAGTGGAATTTTACATTGAAATGGTGGCTTCCCATTCTCCTTCGCTTGATGAGTTGAGTTTTAATGACTTGGAGGAATCATTCAACAGTTTCACCTGCAATCGTTGTTTATTTCGAACTTTTAAGAAAGGAAAACAGAAACATTTTCAGAATTTTATGGTCTCTGGTTTTTTCCAATCATGAGGGACAAGAAATGCTGCCGACCTACTAGCAGCATGCTTGACTTGTTCCAACTACTGAGTATTCAATTCAAGCACCGTTACGTTGCCTCCATGTTCTCTGCCTCCCGACCAAGCATCCATCTTGATATAAGACAGTGTAGTGTTCTTCAGCATTACAGGACTCAGCCAAGTGACTTGGCCTCCCCTAGTGGCAAAGAGAGTTAGGGGCGAGTTGGGTGCCTAACTTGTAAGGCCCAAATAACTTCTAAAAATATATATAAATAAGAAAAAGCAAACAACTACAAAAGAATTAGAAAACACCAGTGTATTGGTTACCAATACTTTGTTTAGAATTTTTTTTTGCTAGTTTTTAAGATCATTTGGAAAATTTGATATGTTTTATTGTATTATATTCAAAGTACAGATCTAATTATTCAATAGTCCATCTTTTATAGATGGGTGCAGTTTGCATAGAGCCTAGGCTCTAAACAATCAAATTAGAGCCTACCTTCAAATAGTGTCCAGAAATGCGGTTTCAATACTGGAAGTATTTGCGACAGCCTTAAAATATATTTTCATCTTTATTTATAAAGTTTAAAGCTTAAAAAATAGTGTAGATCGACAGATCTATGAAAACTTGAAAGTCTTGAAAATTAATGATCCAAAAATGCGTTACAAAATACACTATTGATGTCTATGCATCTTGATGTCGAGATGATCAATTTGAGGATATTTGGGCA